CCGACGACAACCCCTATTACAACTACTACGACACGTACGACAGGCCCCGGCCCGGGGGCAGGTACCGCCCGGGGTACGGCACCGGCTACTTCCAGTACGGTAAGCACCCGCCTCAGCTGAATTGCCAGTCGCGGGGCTCCTCGAGTGGCCGTGGCTGCTTGGGCGCGGCGGCCTGGTCCCCCCGCCCCCCAGCCTGCAGAACCAGCTCTGGAATCTGGACCGCGCGCCTGGCCCTTTCCGCTTAGCTTCGCAGCTTGGGTGTCCCTAGCTCTATTGCTAGCCTCACCCCACTCTGGGGGCTCCGGGATCTGGAGGAACCAGGAGCAGGGGTCAGGGGGCGCGGAGAGGTCTCACTGCTGCCCTCGTTGCCTTGTCATTTAGGTCTCCCGGACCTTGTGCCCGACCCCTACTACATCCAGGCATCCACGTACGTGCAGAAGATGGCTATGTACAACCTGAGATGCGCCGCCGAGGAAAACTGTCTGGCCAGGTAGCCCGGGGGCTCTGGTCCCCTGCCTTGGTGTCAAGGTCGCTCCTGCCCTCTTTTGGCTGCTGCTGTTCAGCGAAGACAGGAGTTGGGAAGCGGAGCAAAGGCAGGGGAGTGGGACGTGACCTCTCCGCATGCTGCCAAGGGTTCTGCTTCAAACCGAGGCTCCAAGTTGGGAGGTGGAGCAGATCCTCCTGCTGGAGCCAGCTTCTTCTCAGTTCTTCTACGATTCTTAAACTTTGGAGCCAACTATGTATAAAAAACAACAACAACAACTCACCAGTAATGTAGCAAAAAATGTAACGGAAAAGCTTGTTAGTGTGCTCTTAAACGATCAGGGGAAAATTTACCACTGTTGCATGACTTCCTGGTACAGGCTGCTTTCCCCTTTTATTTCAGGCTGGGATTACTGCGTTCTTTGGGTATTACTTCGGCCAGAATAAGATTAGGAACAACCACTCTGTTTTTGTGTCAGTCCTAAAATAAAATAGCTAATTCTGGAATTGGGGATCTCTGAGTTTGCTGCTGGGAAACCATCAGAGGGAGCAAAAGCTGTTCTGATTAGTCCTATAAATAAGTTTACATGTAAAATAAGGTCACTGTAATATTCAAGCATATTCGTAGAAAGTGCAGTGAGAGGAGCACAGTGTGGTTATTTTTACTTTTTTTCCCCACGTTGACCCTTTGTGACTATCAGGCTAAAGGAAGAGTACAAATTCAACCTTATTTTCATTCTTTTTTTCCCCATTTAGTTTATCGGTACATTCAAAGCAAACAATACAGTTGCATTCATCACTGGGGTCTTGTACCTTTACATGATGTATCTTGGTTCTTCTTTTCTCCCCCTACTCCTGCCCTTCCTTCACCCCCTTTACCCTTTCCTATTTACAAAGACTTTGTTTCCATTCTTTCATTTTTTCACGTTTAATTTTCCCTTATTTCCTTCCCTCTCCCTTCCCACTTCCCCTTTAGCCATTTTCTTCCTATATCACACTCTCAGTTATACCATTTGAATCTTACCTCTCTTTCTTTTTTTTGGTACTGGGGATCGAACCTTGCGCTTGTGAAGCACGTGGCAGAACAACTGAGCTAAATACCCGGCCCTGAACCTTATGTATACTTTTAGTTTTTCACACCGGAGAAGCTTTTCGGTATTTACTCAGGTGTGTCCTATTTATTTCACTTAAGAGTATGGCCTCAGTGTGCATCCATTTAGCTGTCAATGTCTTCTAGTTTCTCTTTCTTTATAGCTGAGTAGTATTTTCGTTCTTGAGTCCTGTGTCACTCAGACCATGAACTCCCTGTAATATCATTCATGTCATTGTTTTTGAAGATAGTGAAGCTACAAAATCATTTTCCTAAGTCTAGGTGTGTTTATTTACAGTCCATTCTTGACTTTACATTTTAATCATCTCTTTACAAGAGATATTAATAGAATATTTCTATTAAACTCAAAATTCCTAATAAGTATCTGGATCATTTTGGGGACAGTTTCCGCCTCAGTTTTGCTCATTAATGTGGATTTAATAGATAGAGTTTCTCACATGTAGATTTTTAGGGTGAAATTTTACTGCGTTTTTACTTTGAAATTCTGTAAATTTTCATTGTTGTCATTAATTCACTCCTTCACCACATGGTCACTTGGTTCTGACTTCTCCAGCGCCATTCAGGGAGCTGAAATCCAGTGATAAATATGATAAACTCCCCAGGCTCTTGAATAGTTGGGAAGAGGGCGTCCCTACTACACCATGGAGATATTTTGATTGTAGATATGTCTTTAGTTAATAGTCTGCGAATGTAATAATTTTCTTTTTTTCAAAATCACAGTTCAGCATACAGAGCAGATGTCAGAGATTATGATTACAGGGTGCTATTAAGATTCCCCCAAAGAGTGAAAAACCAAGGAACATCTGATTTCTTACCAAGCCGTCCAAGATATTCCTGGGAATGGCACAGTTGTCACCAGTAAGTACATGGCTTTCTGAGTTTTTCTGAGTTGTTCATTTTTCAGGTAACATTGGTATGATAAATATCGGGAAGACATTAACCATTATTTGCACTTGGAATTTTTCTATATTATTGGAAATAAAGGAATCATTTTAAGATAATTGATCAGTTACTAAACACCTTATTTTTGAATTAGAAATTCTACAACCAGCTTATTAACTGCTGAGAAGTCTTTTTTCCTGGTAGCAAAGTTAAAAGCTTACGATTTTCATAGATTTCTATGCCTGTGTGCAGAAAATTCTAGTGTGAGTCACTTTTTTAAGAAGGTAAACTTGACCTCAGTTTTAATGTGAAAACAATTATGAGGCAACGATGATGTCACTATACTGATTGTTTTCTCTGTCCATAACTGACCACTTCCCATCTCTTTGTTGTGTGGGACATTAGACATTACCACAGCATGGATGAATTCAGTCACTACGACCTGCTGGATGCCAACACTCAGAGCAGAGTGGCTGAAGGTCACAAAGCAAGTTTCTGTCTTGAGGACACATCTTGTGACTATGGCTATTACAGGCGATTTGCATGTACTGCACACACACAGGTAAGGTGACACCCCAAAATCAGGGACCCGTGGATTTTAGAGACAAAACAAAGTAGCACACTATTTCTTTTCCTCCCACCTTTTTAAATTGCTTAATTTGGGGATTGTCTTGGCAAGATGAAAAATAATTGGGAAAAGGTAAGTGATGACTTAACTTGATGGTCCAGATTACTTTTGCCGTATTTCCAGCTATGCCTGTGGCCGCTACTCACAATCACAGAAGGGTAATGAGTATCTTTGTTATTTTCCATAATGAAAAGCAGAAATTTGATGTTTGAAAATTTATGAGTGGCTTACAACTTCTGCACACTGTATTTTTTTTTAAAAAAACTGGGTATAAATAACTATAGAAAATGTATTTCTTTTCTCACTTGCAAACTATTTTTCCATATATTATGCTTAAAATAGAATAGTAGTTGATGTTAGCAAAATGAAAGAAAATACATTGCTTAAAAGGCTCTTTAAATATTGTTTCTTTTCATTAATGCAAACCAGAACAGAATGACATACTTCTTTCTCCACACATATATATTTAACCCTGCAGGGTAATTGATGGCAGATATCTTTGGATGAATTTTTAAAATACAGCTGAACTAAGCAGTTTGTATGTTTTATAATTGGAAAATGTGTGTCAGTTAAAAACCATATCGATATTTCCACAGGAAACTCTAATTTGTAAAGAGATATTATAATTTTATGCCAGCCCAAATCTTGGCCAGATGTGAATGTGCAAAGGACACAAAGGCATCACCAGCTGGCCTCTCGGGAGGCAAATTCCAGGGCTGAGGAAGGGAGCTTTTTGGCAACCTCAATATTACCATTACTTCTTTCTCTGAGCTGACATCACAACAGCAGTTGGAAAGGGAAAAGATTAAATTTGATGAGTGGTGGGGGTACACTTGCTATTAAGCAAAAGAAGATGTAACAGAGATTTACTTTTCATTCCATGACCTTCAAGTCCTATAGACATGGGGGCCCTAGAGTTTATTGTCCCCATTTAATAAAAGATGTCCTCTGGACAGTCTGAAATGACTGAATCAGGGATTGTAGTCACTTACAGCACTTCTGGTTCCCCTATTCCTTGGAGTGACCCCTCTTCATTTTACATTGTACTTTTTCTTTATTAGACTATTGAATGGGGACTTCACTTAAAGAAAACGGTTTTTTACAGACCCTTAATATTAACTTAGATTTCTTTCACTATTGAATGGATGTAAGCCTAAAACTGGATATAACTTCTTTATATTTGTACTCCTATATGACATCTGTGTTTTCAGGTCACAAATTTACATACTGAATATATATGAAAACCAAAAACAGTTACTTAGTTACATTAGCATCATTAATCTTACATAGCAAACAGTTTGTTTTCTGCTAAAACCAAATAGCTAATTTAGATAGCCTGGAATAATGTTCTATATCTAATCTATCTCTATGTTTTGGTTTTGTATACAAGCAATGTCTATTTGTTTAATAGTCTTACTAATTCTGGTTTTGTCAGTTCAAATAACCAAAACTCATACCTAAATTCTACCAGCTGAGTAATTCTACAGTGATTTCAACATTTTTATATTTATTTATTATTTTTTGGAGACAGGACCTTGCTGTGTCCCAAGGTGGCCTTGAGCTGCTGAGTGCAAGTGATCCTCCCATTTTGACCTCCAGAGTAGCTGAAATTACAGGCATGCCCTGTCACATATGAATTATTTCAGTGTTTGTAAAACTACTTTTGTTTACTTGAAAGCAGTATTATTTAAACCTGTCTTAAACAGTCATTCTAATCCATTGAATCTTGTATAGTATTGGGAACATAGTAGTAGAAGCTGAGACTTAGTATGTGTGATGCACCAGAATTATTTACTGGAATGAAAAATTCTTTATGAAGTATTTACTACTCAGCACACTTTAATGAGATGTGGACCAGTGAAGGTTCCAGACAAAGTGATGCGGTATAATTCTCACTGTACTGGGGCAAATGCTTTTGGGTTTGGCCTGTTTGTGCTATTGTTCTCTAATAACAACTCAGTTCTCCCCACACTTTCCCGAAATATGGCTGCAGCCAAACCATCATTAGTAAAGCATGCTACGATGATTTTGTTAAGTCTTTGGTGACTAAGCACCAAAACAGTTTTGGGTGCTGAAATTAAATGACTGTATTGAATATGAACAACAGTTAAAACCTTTGGTGAAGAACTAATAAAAATAAAAATAAATCTATAGACAGCAACTGGAGAAGACTCCTGACTGTAACTTTCTTGAAAGCAAGCACCACATCTTAATGGTGTTTTTCTCTTCCCTGCCTGTGTAAGACAGTTACACTTGGTGATGTGAATATCTTAGTAAATGGGAGATGTCACATTCATCAGTGTAGGCATACATCAGTCCCTTCAGTTCAGCAAAGCTATTTCAAAGATTATGTAAAAGCGTATAAAGCAGTACTTAAAAACAGGGTCCCTGGGCCCTGATCATCTAAACGTGAAACCAGCTCAGTCACTCACTAGCTGTATATCCTTGGGTAAGTTATTCGACATAGTGTGCCTCAGTTTCCTCATCTATAAAATGAAAATAACACTGACATCTACCTCATGTACTTGTGAGAAGAGAGTGTATATGTGTAATATATTTGGAATGGTTTCTAGCAAATTGTAATACCTAATGAATATTAACTATTTAAAGTTGCAACATACACTCTTACCTTTAGGAACTTTTAATCTGCAGTTGGCTTGGTAGATAATATAATTATAATATAGAGTGGAAATGGATAAGTTGTATAAATCTATAAATCTACTGTAAAAATAATTATGGCATTCAAAGTATAAGAACCTAAATTTTTAAGAGGGGAAAATTGGAGAGAGTAAATAAGATGTAAGTTAATTACTAAATGACCTTTATTCCTGAACCCAGTGATATCTAGAATGCTGGTGGAGGCCTGTTTTGTCTCTTAAGATTGCATTTGTCATTGGTGACTTACGAACACTTTAAGACGAGAGGTATGTTGCTACGTATTTTAGTCCTGTATCTTTTTTTAGTTGGAGGTGCCTTAAAGCTGAGTAATTTGTACTTCTCAAGGGGAATGAAATACACAGCTTTATGTCGAACTCTTGTAAGTACTAATATAATTTAATCCGCAAACAATAGCATCTTCCTTAGCATAGTCTGACCATGGACCGTAATTTTATTTATTTTTATTATTTATTTATTTATTTTTGGTACTGGGGATTGAATTTGGGTCTTTGTGCTTGTGAGGCAGGCGGTGGAACCACTGAGTAAATCCCTGGCCCCAAGGTACCATAGTTGTAAATGTTTTGCTTGTTTCAGGGTTTGAGTCCTGGCTGTTATGACACCTACGCAGCAGACATTGATTGCCAGTGGATTGATATTACAGATGTACAACCTGGAAACTACATTCTCAAGGTAGAGGTCATTAAAAATATGTAATTGCTTAATTGCAAATCTGTAGGCCTCTTCTCTGGGTAAATAATCATCTTTTGGGTGCAGTTGTATACTCTTCAGGATAGTTCTAGGTAAAATGTTTTTATTTTAAATAATTTCAGGGAAAATGACAGTTTCCTTCTATAATGTCCCCAGAGACTTGATTTACCTGAAGCCCTTGTTAGTAGTTCTCTGTTATAACCCTTTAGAAATAGAAAGCAATCACTATACCCTGTGATGAAACCTTTAACATAGAAGTTGCTTGTTTTGTTCAGGTCAGTGTCAACCCCAGCTATCTGGTGCCTGAATCAGACTACAGCAACAACGTCGTGCGCTGCGACATTCGGTACACAGGGCATCATGCTTATGCCTCCGGCTGCACGATCTCACCGTGAGTACACTGGCCTAGCTAAGTGACTTCCTTTATGAGCAATTCTAGTTCATAGACATTACACATGAGTGTCTGTTTCTACTACTGTAGCTTCCATGTAGATAAGTCACAGGCAAACATTGGGACATGGTCTGCACTATGGAAAAGCTTGTCTTTTTATTTTAAATAATGCTAGAGAAAAGAGGATGCACCATGGTTTTGGTCATCCTAAAGCTTAGTTTGCAAAATAAGACATACACAGGACACAATGTTTACCCGGAAAGCTTGTGTGGAGACTGGTGTGTCAAAACTGCTCGATATGAAGGGGGGTGAGCTCCTAGGAACCCAGCAGTTGGTTTTCCTGCCTCTTCCCCACCCTCCCAAAGGAGTGCTGAAGAAATTCCTAGAATTCTTTAAAGTGCATTTTGAAAACCACTCTTTAAAGAATGTAACTGAAGAGAACAAATCTCCTGTTCTGTAGAAATGCAGATTTTTATATATTTGATATCTAAAACCATATGTATTGAAGAAATAAAAGGAAGGGGCATGTGGAAATTCCTTCATAATTTCCTTGGTCCTGGAACACTTTTTTGAATGAAATCTCAGAAGAAATTCCAGTATATAAATATTTATCAGGAGGTACTTTGATAAAAATAATTAATGCAAGTAGGGTAGGTTTGCCTCCTAGCCCCTTCATCTTGGCTCACCCTGTAAATACTGCCTGCTCTGTTGTTGCTGTGTAATAGATTGTAACTATATTCCTCCAGAATGACAGCTGCACAGAAACGAGAAGACCGTTAGAATATTACCAAGTACCGATCAGCTTTGCTTTGATGTTGGAAAGCACTGATCTCTCTGGGTTACATGATGTGTCCGTTTCTGCTACCACAGCTTCTATGCAAATAAGTATAACAGCTACAGAAGGTCAATAGAAACATTTGTTTCATACAAAAACTGGGATAGGGGTTTTCCACACATGAATTTCTAGTTAGGATTTTACCAGGTGCCCCTAAAACTAGTTGTGTAGGTTTTCCCCTATCCCCAGGCTCCTGGCCATGGGGAAAGTGGAGCCATCCAGACTGTGCTCCATCCGCACACTATGGCTGGGGCTATACCCACCTCATAAAGTGTCCCCTTTTCCTCCTCACGAAAAAGAGCAGAGCTTGTGCTTTATAAATTTCATCACATCGTTAGAGATAGATGAAGCCCATGATATAGCAAAGGGATAGTAGTGAAAAATATACTCAAATGCATTTTTCTGGACATTCTCACAACACAGGCAACTCGGCCAGTTCTATGGTCCATAGATTGTGGAGTTGGTCAGAGTATATTCAAAACCCTCAGAGGGAAATTGTTACATAAAAACTTTTAAAGATTGACTTTATCTGTTGTACTCATTCATTTTATCAGGTTAATAACTGGTATTATTTTGTTTTCTCAATCTAGGTATTGAAAGCAAGTCCAGCTTCCAATGGAGAAATCAGTGCCTGGTGTTCAGAAGTGAGAAAAAAACAGATTAGCTTCAGTAGGATTAACATACTTTGAAAAAGAGAACAGAAAACAAAAAAAGTTTTTTGTTTGGACTATTTTATGATAAATAACTGGATTTTGAACAATTAAATCAGCACTATTTTGGAAGTTTTTAGTATTTATTCACATGACTTTGTGAATTAACACAGTATTTCAATTCTGTAATTACATACTTGGCTCTTTCAAAGAAATCCCAACTTCGTATACTTCTTTTGAAATTATAGTATAAAAGAGAAAATAGTATTTTAATGAATGAGCCAAAATTACTTTGAACTCATTATTTTCTAAAGTGTTGAGACTTCTGTGAAACATAATAATGGGATTATATGTGTCTTAGGATAAATTAATTTATAAATGATGTTCCTGCTGTTTAAATAGATAATGGACACATTTGGTGCTGTGGAAAGATCAGACATAATATTGGTGTCAAGAAATATTATTTAGCAAAGAAATGGCAATATATGTATTCAGATAGTCATATCCCTATATAAAAATTATGTTTACATTTTCTAAATTAGTAGATACTTTCTATCTTTTCGCTTGAGATGACTTGTTTGGAAGGAATTATGTAATTAAGCTGTCTAATTCCCACTTGATATTTGTTGATGCTCCTCTGTACTCTTATTTTTTCTATGAGCAGAGACATTTCAAGTGACACTCTTAAAATTCTCATTCCGGGAACCAGTATACATAGGACAACTTTGTAACTGCAAAGTGTTCCTGGGGATGTGATACATCCAGAAATAATATTCATGTAGTCATATTGAAGTGTTAGCCAAAAATAAAATTTCCTTGAAGACATAAAAATCATACAGAAAAAACACACCAAAGCCACACTGTCTCTCAGATACTTAAAAGACAATGAACAACATGTTAAGGTCTTCAACTCTCCTATATTTTTTAACAGTTCAGCTATTAAAAAGAAGGATGCTAAGAATTCTTAATTATCCACAGTAGATGACAGTAGTATGTGTAGAATACAGGAACATCATTCCAGGATATTCAGGAACTGGTCATACATGTTTTTGTGTGTGCCTGTGTGTCTGATGTATAGTCTAAATTAGCAAGGTACATACTAGCGAGTGTTGCGTACAGGAGGGGTTGATGAATAAGAGAAGAAAGTACTTTCTGTAAAACCAAGGACTGCACTCCACACTGAGACAGCTGTGATTTTGTTTTAAACTGTGAAACTCTGTGCAACAACAGAATTTGGAGAATCTTTTTCTTAAATTCAAAGATGCAGAAAGAAATCAAATTAGACTCTTAATTTAGTGGTGCTTAAGCAGAGGTTTTCCTACATTTAATTATTAAAATCTCAAGCAAGATATTTGCAGTGCCAGAACACATTAGGTAAAATTTTAAAAGTGAGTTGGCATCCTGTCTTCTATGTCAGAGATTTGTAAAGTCAACACTGTTTACTAATGATAATTTTGCACTTACTGGGTGCACAGCATGATAAAAGGACAAGAGATGGTCAAGGGATAGTCATCAAAGGATGGATGGAATGGTACACATGGGCCTTCTCTGCCTGCATACACTTAGTAATAAATACAGATGGAACGTTCATTGAGCTAGTATCTGAGCTATGTGATACCTTCTTTGCCTTAAACTGCTTTTTAAAGATTGTAGAATGACTTTCAAATTGCATCCTTTTCTAATAGAGATATTTTAGTATACTTGCTTAAAACAAAACAAAACAAAAAAAAACTACTGTGTCAGTATTAATACTGAGCCAGACTGGCATCTACAGATTTAGTGTCTATTGTCTCATAAAAATGTTTACCCCTGCATCAAAACCTAGCCAGTATCAAGGCCTTTGGATACGTAAGAAAAAATGCCTCTATAGAAATCTCAACAAGGTCTTTTATCTGTCTATCCATTCATCATCATTTGAAAACTTAATATAAGCCAGGCACTCACGTGCTAGGCACTGGGACACAGAATATTGTCTCCAGTCTCAATAAGTCTAACAAATGTCATTATTACACATTAGGTTCATCTGATTTTTGTCAACTAAAAGTACATGTCCATATTTATAAAAATAAAAGTTAATAATTATATGCACATAGGTATTTCTAATAAAAGTTCAAATTCCTGATATATGTTTATTAAATATAATATTTACTATTTGGTTGATTTTTGCAAAAAATTTTTCAATTAGAAGCTAAAGATTCTCATTTATTTCTCTTGTGAACATTCCTTCCCTTACTATCATCCTTAAACACTTACAAAAACTTGTAAGTATTGATTTAACACTCAATAGTTTTGAACCTTAAGAGGTCTTTTCTCTGAATAAGTGTCAAAGCTCACAGATAAAAAGGTTATCAATTAATAACAATTCAGTCTTACCAAACTACATTTTACATGATAAGGGCTGCAAATAGAAAATAATTTAATAAGCTCACCATCTGTCACATTACTGGCTTTGTAATTACTCAGATCGCAATCTGGCTGAAAGACATTTTGGCCTTCCAGACTAGGAGTCAGTCTCTCAACAGTGCCGTAACATATATAAATATGCAACTTGCCTATTTCCAGAAAAAATTATATTTTTATATGATAATTGTATTTACAACTTTAATTATTCACTAGCAATTATTTGTAATAAGTTTTGCTCTTTGAAGTCTCACAAATAGTTACATTTATAAATATTCCAAATGCTCAAATTTTAGAGAAAATGCAGTACTAAGATTTTCTTGACACTGAGATAATTTTTATGAGATTGAAATCCTCTTGGTCTTAAGATATTTTGTTTTTAAAAATTTTGCTTTGAAACTAACAGTATGCTAGAGGATTAAAAGCACCTTTTCTGTATTATTAATTTTTGATTTATATTCACAATCAATATATTTAATCAACCAATTAAGTTTCATTCCCAGGTACCCCAAGTTCTGGGCTGCTTTTGAATGCAAAGCATTACATTCATCCTTTGAGCTAAAATGGTGCTGGATTATTTCAACTTGAATGTAAAATGCATTAAATGTTAGCTCTTGGGAGACAAGCATATAATTAATATGTATAACTGCTTGCTAAAGACTAAGCAACATATCATTTGGTAGTATAATGTTTTTAAGGCAATTTTAGTTTCTCCCAAATGTTTCTGTAATCCTATTTGTAAAACAACTGTAACTTTTTGGAAGAGCTTTTATTTTAAACACCCAGACACTGGCTTTATTCTTGTCTGCATTTTCATATTCATTCATTTTACTATTTCATATTCTTTTATTATATTACTATACTATAACTGCAAGATTATATAAAATACCATGAATAAATGATTTCAAGTGTCTGTAGTAGTCATTTGTTTTTACATATAAATAAATCTGAATTTCATTTTGAAAACATTAAAGCTGTATATATGGTTGCTTGTCTCAATTGCCTTTTGTATTAACAAACTGTTTAATAATGTGATTTGGAGCTTGTCTAGGATGAATACATATCTAGCTGATATTTTAAAGTATATACAATCATATGAACCACTCACATGTGAATGAAGTGTAACTTTTGTTACCATTACTAGCTACATCTAAGAACACAGAACAGATAATGAAAAGATGCTTTGATTAGCAAAGAATACATATGAATATACACATATTCGCTTAAGGACTACAAGTTATTTGTATAAAGAGAAACATTGCTATCATAGTACTTCTTATTTATACTTGCACCAGATTAGCCTGAAGGTTGGAAACCAAGAGAGCAGACACCAAACTATAGAAAAAATTAACGAAGTGAATCTACATGAACAGTTTACCCTTGAGCCACTTCAGCTAAAATAAAATGCAGCCTGTGGCTTAAAATGTGCAGATATGACTTGTAGAATATCAGTGATACTTGAGACCACAGACTTCTGGCTTTCCTTGTCTGCTCCAAGCAAAGTATCTGAATATGCTTTTGTTGCTAATGTAAAAAGATGATTTCCTTTGTCTCGTAAGTGTTCAGTGTTTCAAGCAGCGTTCCTTATTAGCTTGTTAACCAGAGACAGAGATAGATCTTACCTTTTTGTCAGAAAATTTGTCTGCTTTTGTGTTACTCATTTATCTATACAATATTTCTAATCCTTGCTATAGATATTAATAGAAAATTAACACTTAGGTTGAATAAATCACTTTCATAATAGAGGTTTTTAACTTAAAGCAACTGTACGCCCATAAAATAGCATTTATATAACAATTGGAAACAAATACTGAGTTCCTAAAGCAGGCACTTGCCTTTCTATATCTGTGGAAGGTTTGCTTCAGGACCTTCCCTGGATACCAAATTGCGCAAGGACACTCAAATCTCTTCTATAAAATGGCATAGTATTTGCAAATAAATTACACCATTTTGTATACTCAAAATCATCTTTATATAATTTATGCAAATATCTTGTGCTTCATGTTACTACCCTTCACAGGCAATGCATGTTTTACAAAGTGAAAGTTTATGGTGACCCTGCATCGATCACATATGTCAGCACCATATTTCAAACATTTATGTACTTTATGTCTCTGAGTAGAGTCACAGTAATTTTCACAATATTCCGAGCTTTTTCAATATTATTGTATCTGTGATCAGCAATCTTTGACGCACTATTGTTTTGGGGCTGTGTGACCTATATGTATGCAAGATAGAAAACTTAATGTTGTTCAGACTGCTGCACCAACCAGCCATTTCCCCACCTTTCCCCCTTCTTGGGCTTCTCTATTCCCTGAGACGCAATGATAGTGAAACTGGGCCAACTGATAACCCTACCATGGCCTCTTAAATGTTCAAGGGAAAAGTTCTATGTCTCTCAGTTGATATCAAAAGCTAGAAATGCTTAAACTTGGTGAGGAAGGAACATGGGAACCTGAGAGAGGCCAAAAAACTAGATCTCTTTGTGCCAAACAGCCAAGTTGCGAAAAGTTCTGAAGGAAATTAAAAGTGCTACTCTATTAAGCACATGGATGATAAATTAGAACATCCTCATTGATCTGGAGAACATTTGAGTGATCTGAAAAGAGGACAAAATGAGTCACAACATACCCTTAAACCACACTTGAATCTAGAAAAAGCCCTTAACTTCTCATTGCACTAATGCTGGAGAGGAAAGGAGGCTGCAGAAGGAAAGCGTAAATCTAGCAGAGGTTGGCTCATGAGGTGTAAAACCAGAAAATATCTGACACTTTATTTCTAGGTTGCAGGTGAGATGATGGAATAGAAGCAGCTTTTGTATTACTCTGCAAGGGAGAAGAATCAGAGCAACAACAAAGGGACTATATTCCAAAGAGAGTGAGAGGAAGAGCTCCAGAAATTAACAGAAAAGGTGATAGGAAAACTGATCACAGAGAAGCAGAAAGCCATTGAGAGAAAACTGAAGTAGTCTGCAATGCCAAGCAACTTCCCAGGGGAGGGAAGAGCCCAATCTGCAAGCAAAAGTTAAGTCTGCAGAGGGCCAGCAGCAGACTAGAAGGCAGAAGTCCACGGGTGTTGCAAAATTTAAGTACAGTGGTCTGAAAGTGACCTGGCAGGCTAACTGTGAAGACGAAATCACTGCTGTACTTACCCATATGTTGGAGTATTACCACCACCCGCCATGTGGAGATGAAGCTTATTGTTTAGGACTGACCTACCCTGAGGATTGAAAATCATGGATCAGCCACAGTTTAAAATCCCTTGGAAAACCTACTGACTCAGTGAGAGCCACCCGAGGCAGCTGTGGAGAAGCAGGGAATAAATGGAGCTGGCAGAGAGAGAGAGAGAGAGGCAGAGAGAGAGACAGAGAGAGACAGAGAGAGAGAGACAGAGAGAGGCAGAGAGAGAGAGACAGAGAGAGAGACAGAGAGAGGCAGAGAGAGAGACAGAGAGACAGACAGAGACAGAGACAGAGAGGGAGGGAGGGAGAGAGGGAGGGAGAGAGAAGCTCTGGAGTGAATGCGGATGTTATACTATCAACCACAGCATGCCTAGAAAATACAGGTCAGGAGGCAGCATTCCAGAAACATCAACCTGGTTGATGGGAAAAATACAACAGGCTTCAGGTAAAATTCCTTACCTCCCCTCCACACCTGGTAGATTCTAATATTAGAGGTGTTGGAACAGAACACTTCAGCATGGTAGAATATTCTGGACTCTCTTTTGGCCTTTCAAGAATTATGTTGTGTTTTTTTGTTTGTTTCTTTCCCTGCAACTTTCATTTTTATTATTACTTTATATTTTTGCCTTTATTAACTTTTAGTGTTTTAGTTTCCTCCGTATTGTCTTTGCCCTTTCTATTATTATCGCTGTTGGTTTTAACTGGTTGTGACTACACTTATATGTCTGGTTTGTCTTTGTGTGGTCACTGTTACCACAGTTCATTTGCTACCTGAGAAGTACTATGGATCAAACCCTTAAGAGAAGCTGCTCTCTAAAAAGACCATCATATCTGAAGGGAGAGCAGGGGAATGAGGGAAAAAAAAGAACCAAGATACATCATGTAAATGTACAAATTCCCAGTGATGCATGTAAATGTACTGTATACCTAAAATGCAAAAATAAAATAATTTAAGAACAAAACAAAACAAAAACAAAGAATGGAAAGGAAAAATGGGGAAAAAACCCTCATATCAAAGTGGAAGAGATATCTATCTCAAAACTTTTACATAGCTTTCAATGATAGTCCTGATTATAAATGGTTCAAAATTCCCAGTTAAAACATGCACACTAGATTATTGGTTGCAAAATATCAAAATCCAATTGTTTGCTGTTTGTAATAGCCTCTTCTCAAAAGCAAAGACACACACAGACTGAAACTAAAAGAATGGAAAAATGACAATCCAATCAAATGCAACCCAAAAGCAGCAAAAATAAATAACCCATATCTGACAAAATAAATTCCAAGCCAAATTCGGTCAGAAAAGAAAAGGTCACTAAATATTGGTAAATTTAAAAATTTATCAAAAAGAAATGACAACTATAAATATATATACACCAAATTTCAGGGCATCCAATTTTACAAGAAGAGTATTACAGGATATAAATACCACAAGAATAGTGGGTGACTTTCTTTAATACCTCCCTCTCACTAACAGATCTTCCAGACAAAAAATTAAGCATCGGACTTAAATTACGCCATACA